GTATTAAGGTGTTCGATATTAAAATACGGAAGAGTTATGTAGCATGTATGTAAATGCTCCTTTTTCTTTTGTTCTATACATCTTCAGGGATATGTTCTGGAAGTTTCACTGGTCAACTTTGAATTAAGTCGTGGAGAAAAATAAGTTAGGATGGTCTAAATATATTTTCAAGATAAAGATGTATTTTTGTTTGTTGCAATATAACTTTATTTGTCAAAAAACTGTGGCATGCCATGCAATAATATTTTTTGCCTTGCATAAAGTTGTTCACTATAATATATCATAGTTTTTGAATAATAATGGTATAATATTTTTCATTTTGTAATTAAAATTTTCAGATCTCAATTTTCTTCCAAAATTTTAAAATTTTTTAATTTTTTTTAGATTAGTTTGACTTATTTTTACCATTATAATAATTAAAAAGAAATGTTAAAAGTCAAATAAATCATTGAAAAGATATAAGAGAACTTGATTTTATTGATGAAAATATTAAGTATGGGCAACTACAAATAATTGCTAGTTTTCTTAAGTTTTTTTCCCCTAGAAATTGGGACTTACTGGTAAAGAAAACAATAAAAATAGAATATAGTAGAAAAGGAAATAAATATTAACAAAATATAAGAGGCAGCTAATCTCTCTAATTAATGAGAGAAATAAATAGAGATTCCAAAGATCCCTCATATAATTTATAATAATTTATAACCCTCTAAATATCTCTAAATATAGAGTTATAACAAATATGAAATGTAATCATTATATTTTTTGAGATCTTTCAACACTCACCCTCAAGTTGGGTTGTATAGATTGTACATGTCTAACTTGTTACATAATTCTTCAAAATTGATTCTTGGGAGAGGCTTAGTGAAGATATCTGTTGTTTGATGTCGGAAATGAATGTATGAAAGTTCGACGACACCTCTCTCAATGTTTTCTGAGATGAAGTGTCGATCGATCTCGATGTGCTTCGTTCTGTCATGGTGTACTAGATTCTTTGCAATGCTGATTGATGCTTGGTTGTTTCATTGTAATTTGACACTTTTTTCAGTTAGCATTCCGAGTTCTTTGAGTATTCTTCAAATCAACATTCCTTCTCAGATCCCGAGTGCAAGAGCTCTGAATTCACCTTCAGCGTTGCTTCTTGATACCAAAGACTGTTTTTTGCTTCTCCAAGTGACTTGGTTTTCCCGGACATAAGTGCAATAGTCGGAAGTCAATCGTCGGTCCGAGACATCTCCTGCTCAGTCTGCATCTGAATACACTTCTATACTTCGATCCTTATTCCTTTGAAACAATAGCCCTTTGCTTGGAGTCATCTTGAGGTATCTCAAGATTCTGTAGATTGCATTCATGTGTTCTTCCGTAGGATTGTTCATGAATTGACTAACAACACTAAAAGAAAAATCAATGTCAGGTCGTGTGTGTGAGAGATCGATGAGTCGCCCCACGAGTCGCTGATATCTCCCGTTATCTACAGGTGCGCTATTTTTCTGAGTGTCGATCTTCTTGTAGGGATCCATTGGAGTATCGACGGGTTTGCAACCGAGCATACATGTTTCCTTCAATAGGTCCATTGTATATTTCTGTTGTGACACTAATATTCCTCATTTTGATCGAGCTAGTTCCATGCCGAGAAAGAACTTTAGGTTTCTGAGGACTTTGATTTCGAATTTCCGAGTGAGAAGCTTTGTCATATTTGTAAGTTCTTCTTCGTGATTTCCAGTGAGGATGATATCGTCGACGTATACAATTAGAATTGCAATCTTCTTTTCGGGAGAGGTTTTCACAAAGAGAGTGTGATCTGCCTGACACTAAGTATACTCGTGTTTTTTCACAGATTTTGCAAATTTATCGAACCATGCTCACGGAGATTGTTTGAGGCAGTACAATGATTTTCGTTGTTTGGGAAGGATGCTTTTAGTCTAGGAGGTGCTTCCATGTAAACTTCTTCTTCCAAATTGCCATTTAGAAAAGCATTTTTCACGTCGAGTTAATGTAGTTGTCAGTCTTCATTTATCACAAGTGAGAGAAGAATTCTGATGGTGTTAAATTTTGTCACGAGGGCAAAGGTTTCTTGGTAATCAATACCGTAAGACTGTGAAAAAATTTTTGCTACAAGACGTGCTCTTAATCTCTCAGTTGTACCATCTGCCTTGTGTTTGACTTTGAAAATCCATTTGCAGTCAATTGCTTTCTTTCCCTTTGGCAGGTCTGAAACAGTCCATGTACCATTCTTTTGTAGGGCGCTTACCTCCTCATTGATGGACGCTTTCCACCCCGGGTGTTTGAGAGCTTCATCAATGGTGTTTGAGACTTGTTGTTGAATGTAGTCACATAGGCTCGGGAAGTTGAAGATAGTTTTTCATAGGAAACAAAGTTAGAGATAAGATGCATTGTGTGTTCGTACCTGAGTGGAAGTCAGATGGTCATAACATCTTTACTTAAAACAATTGGAATGTCGAAGTCATCAATCATAGGTATAGTAGATTTATATTCAAGTGTGTTTGTACCTGAGTGGATTTCTGTAGGAGTTGGATCTGGTTCTGACTCTTGGATTGGTGCTAGATATGTTGGGTGGTCTATGTGATTATTGTGCGTGGGAGGTGGTGCAAGAATGGGTGACGAGTTGGAAACTTGAGGACTAGACAAAGACTAATTGTTAGGTACATTTTCACGTGAGTTGGATGAACTTGTTCAATCCGAGTCGGGAGATAATGAGTTTGGTTCAAGGGACGAGGATTTGGTGTGTGGTGGTATGAAATCGTTGTCCCCCCAAGACTGATATTCCCTTAAAGTCTCCCCCTGAATATTAGAATTGGGGTAGTAAGACTGATTTTCAAAGAAGGTGACATCCATAGTGTTGTAGGTTTTTCTTGTGAGAGGAGAGTAGCACTAATACCCTTTTTGAAGAGGCGAATAGCCGAGAAAAATACATTTAGTAGATTTAGGGTCAAGTTTGTTGCAATTGTGTGAATGAATGTAAACAAAGGAGGAGCAACCAAATACTTTGGTAGGTAGATTTTGGGCAATTATCTTGGTGTGGGGAAACGATTTGAGAAGGAGTTAGACTGAAGTTTGAAATTTGAGGACCCGAGAAGGCATCTTGTTGATGAGGTAGGCTGCACTAGATACAACGTCACCCCAAAAAACTTTAGGCACATTAGAGGAAAAGATGAGACAGCGAGCCACCTCGAGAATGTGGCGATTCTTGCGTTCAACGATCCCATTTTGTTGAGGAGTGTTGACACAAGAACTGAGATGGAGGATGTCTTTAGAGGAGAGATAAGAGCTGAGGATGGAAGCGAAGTACTCCTTTGCATTATCAGTCTTGAGTGCCTGGATTGAGGTTTGGAATCGTGTTTGGATCATTGAGTAAAATTGTTCAAATATGTGACCGATTGCAGATTTATCTTTCATAAGAAATAACCACGTTAGTCGAGTATGATCATCAATAAATGAGACAAACCTCCGAGTCTCAGTAAGGGTTATAACAAGGATGGGCCCCAGATATAGCTGTGAATGAGTGCAAAGGGTGGGAAGAGGTGTAACCAATATGTGGAAATGACGTGCGAGTGTGTTTGGCAAGTTGACAAAATTTACATTGAAAAGAACGAACATCTTTATTGATAAATAAATTTGGAAATAGTTTTGCAAGATACATAAAATTTGGATGGCCAAGACGAAAGTGTCATAACATAATCTCAAAATCTTTATTGACACTAAATTGAAGATAGAATGATGGGTAGGCAAATGTTCACAGCGAGGTCGTGGTGGTGAAGTACCGTTGATGACGTAGAGACCCGAGCACAACTCAGCATTGCCAATCCCGAGTTCGCATCGTGAAATCCACACATGGTAGGGAAAATTTAGCAATACACCTCAGATCACTAGTCAACTTTTCGATGGATATTAAATTACAATTTAAGGTAGGAACATGAAGCACAGATCAGAGTAAAATGTTTTGGGTGTGCACACGGAGCCAAAACCGGTGACTTTGGAGACATAGTCATCAACAACGCGGATGGTGGAGTTGTCTCCGCACGACATATAGTCATGAAGAATGAAGGCATCGCCAATCATGTGATGAGAAGCGTCAGAATTGATGATCCACTAACTGAGGGATCCTTGATTGACTGTGAAGGCATCGTAGAACGTAACTTGCTGCGCGAGCAGGCCGGTGATGGGGTCAGGAACAACCAGATCAGGTGGTTTGCCGATCAGTTTGTGCAACAAATCGAGTTTATCTTTGTTGAATTGACTGGGTGCTGGTGCAGGAAGGTCATTGGCAGCGACGACGTTGTTGACACGGGGAACACGATCAGACTAGGCTTCCAATCGGCTGGCTTTCCATGAAGCAACCAACACTTGTCTTTATTATGACCCGGTTTGCGACAATGGTCGCAGCAGGGACGACCCTTGCGTGATGGGTTGTAATTGTGTCGAGGCGGAGGAACTTGAGCTGCAATGGCAGAGACATCAATGAAGAGATTGGGCGAGGTGGAGATAGACCCAAGCATGACTTTCTGGCGGCTTTCTTCGCGGTGAACCTCGAAGAAGGCCTCGCGAATGCTCGGTAGTGGTTTGAAGCCTAATACACGAGAGCAGACATGATCGAGAGAGTTGTTGAGGCCGAGAAGGAATTTGAATATATTTTTTTGCCCGATGATCTGACGGTATAAGTTGGAGTCCAGATTGCATGACCAAACATGGACTTCATACATGTCAACCTGCTGTCAATAACGTGAAAGAACATTAAATTACTGAGTTACAGATTGATCACCTTGGCGAAGATCTTGGAGGATTGACTCGATCTCGAAGAGCTTGGATTATTATCCGAGTGAGTATGTTTCCTCGGCCACATTAATTTATTGTACTTCCATCAAGCATTTAGATTTTTTATTTTGTAAGGCTTGTAATTAAAAATGCATAGAATTTTTTTTTTTCAATTTTCAACCTAATTTGAACATGACAAGCTCAATTCAAAAAATTCCAACTACTCCGAGCCTAATCGAACGAAACATAAATTTCATTCATAACGATCACAATCTGACCAATTCGAGCCAAATTTAAACAAATCGAACTAAACATCAACACAAATTTCACTTGAGCCAAACATGAATATGAGCTCAACTCGCACAAATCCAGCCACCCTTTACGCCCCAACGAATCACATCCCCAACCCTAATTGATCCACAACCTCCCTCTTCTTACAAAAAATCCTCAACGGCTTCGCCATCGGCATCAAAAGCCCTCCACTCCCTTCCGCCAGATCCACCTCCACACCAACCCCATCAGCATCCAACTCAAAACTCTGTATCAACGCCCCCAAAGCCAACCCCATAACCCGCATAGCTAACCCTTCTCCAGGACACCCCCGCCTTCCCATCCCAAAGAAGAAAACCTTCCCCTGTTTTCCCTTCATCCCTTCTCCTCCCTCCCATCTCTCCGGCCTGAATTCCTCCGCCTCATCCCACAGCGACGGATCTCTGTTAATCGCCCACAAGTTCACGAGCAACATCACACCTTTCGGCACGTGGAAACCCTCGATGGTGCAGTCTTCGTTGGATTCGTGCGCGGGGATGAGCGCCGCTACGGGGTGGAGGCGGAGGGCCTCTTTGATGACGGATCGGAGGTAGGGGAGATTGGGGAGGTCGGTTTCAGTTATCAGGCGGCGAGTGCCGATATGACTGTCGAGCTCTGCGCGGGTTTTTGAAAGGGCGGTCGGGTTGCGGAGGAGAAGTGCGAGCGCCCATTCAGTTGTTAGGGCTGACGTGTCTGTGCCCGCGGATAGGAGAACCTAGGAAAAAAATTAAGATTTACATATATATACCTTTTAATCTTTTATGTTTTACATAACTAATCCCTAGACAAAGTTTAATTTTTAGGTAAATAATAGGGCTATGTTAATGACATGGAAAATGGGCGTTTCAGATTTTCTCTAAGTTAAAATAATGATATTTTTGATGTGATATGAAATATATGAGTTATATAAACTGTAAAAAAAATAAAATTTAATCGTAAGTTATGTAAATTGATAGGAATTTATCAGTATGCATGTAATACTCCTAATTCTTTTATAATTATTATTATATTTTTGTGTGATAAATTTATGTATAAAAATATGTATGATTATATTTTTAGTGTGATATTAATGATTTGAATGATACACATATAAATATGAAAATTTAAATATTAGATATATAAGTACATAAAAGTTGTATGATATTTATGTAAATGCCATTAATATTTTGAGCCAAAATAAGCTGAATACGTTTATGTTCAGCTCGTTTATAAATCGAGCATAAAAAAATTATTCGTGTTTGACTCATTTGCTTAGAGAATGAATAGAACACGAGTTACTTAACGAGCCAAGCACGAACTATTTGCGAACAACGAGGCATTTTGATAGTCCTACTTGTAAATTCTTCGCTTAAACACACACACACACACACACACACACATGTCTCATATTCCGGCCTGTTATTTGGCGCGCGCGCGCACACACACAGACATGTCTCATATGCCAGCCTGTTAGTTGGCATCCTTGGTGTAAGACATCTTAGGTAAGAGGTTCGAATTTTCCTCTGGCGATGTGAGCTTTAAGGACGGTGGTGCTCGATTTGTTAGACACATTAAGAGTGGCTAGAGACTGATATGATAGTCTCTCGTCATTCCTTGTAAATATATTACAAGTAAGCCAAGCTCAATAGAGGTGCTCGAATTGTTAGGCACATTAGGAGTGACCGGAGTTACTCGAATTATTAGACACATTAGGAGTGGCTATAGACTGATATGATAGCCTCCTTAAAATATATTATGTAGTAAGCCAAGCTTGAGTGAAGCTCAAATTTGGCTCATGTTCAACTCATTTAAAATTGATTCATGCTCGAATTTGCTTCGGAGCAATTTATTTGTGCTAGGCTTGATTTATATTTTCTTGTTTGCATTTGGTTCATATTCAGCTCGAAATTGGTTGCCAAATTTAATTTAAAATATAAATACACGATTTTAGGTTTGAACCTTAACCATTTTTTATGTAGTAGAAGACACCACGTAATGACACAAATTATTATGAATTAAATTTAAATATAAAAATATATAATATATTATTATCCGGCCTGTTATTTGGCGCGCGCGCGCACACACACAGACATGTCTCATATGCCAGCCTGTTAGTTGGCATCCTTGGTGTAAGACATCTTAGGTAAGAGGTTCGAATTTTCCTCTGGCGATGTGAGCTTTAAGGACGGTGGTGCTCGATTTGTTAGACACATTAAGAGTGGCTAGAGACTGATATGATAGTCTCTCGTCATTCCTTGTAAATATATTACAAGTAAGCCAAGCTCGAGTGAAGCTCAAATTTGGCTCATGTTCAACTTATTTAAAATTGACTTGTATTTAAAATTGTTTCATGCTCGAATTTGCTCGTGAACAATTTATTTGCGCTAGGCTTGATTTACATTTTCTTGTTTGTATTTGGTTCATATTCAGCTCCAAATTGGTCGTTAAATTTAATTTAAAATATAAATACACGATTTTAGGTTTGAACCTTAACCATTTTTATGTACTAGAAGACACCTCCTAATCACACAAATGGTTGTGATTTAAATTTAAATATAAAAATATATAATATATTATTATATAAATAATATATATATTTTTCTTATTTCACGTTAAACGTGTAAAATATGATCGATTAAAAATTTGTTTATATTTGACTGATTTATGTAAGGAAGAATTCAAACAAAAATAACAGCTTTATTTTTATTTATTTATTTATTTATTTATTTATTTTCTTGCTGGTACTGTTAAATTTGAAGCACTTACCACCACAAGACCTTTGATAATTTCATCTGTATACTGCTCCGGATTAGCTTTTTGCAGAGAAAGCAGATTATCAATTAAGCATTTCCTCCCCCTTTCTTCAGCGCCTGCTGCTGCTACTCCTTGGCGACCAGATGATGAATCCATTCTCTCAATCTCTCTCCTCCGTTCATCAATCAATCCCTGCAAGAAAGAATCCCTCCTCTCCTGCAACCTGATCATCTTCTTCTCCACCCCACTATAATCAAACAAACTCAGCAGAGGGATAAAATCCCCCAAATTTGTCGCCCCGCTCACCTCGAATGTTTCCCTAACAATCTCCCGAAACTCCTCCGATTTACTCAATTTCTTCCCCGCAATCATCTTCATCATCAGATTCAAATTCAGTTCGAATAATCTCGGCCGCATTTCGATAGCCCTACCGCCGATCCTAGCGGAGGCGGCGGCGGCGGAGGCCAATGCCTTCACCATCGCAGCGACTTCTTGGAAGATGATATCAGAGATGGAGTGGAGGCGGGATGGGGAGAAGATCTCGAGGGCGGCGATGCGGCGGAGGTTACGCCAGTGGGGGCCGTTGGAGGTCCAGACCAGAGTGGAGTAGTTGTAGCCGAGGTGTTTTCCGGCGAGGAATCGGGGGCGGTTGGAGAAGGCGGCGTCGTTCGTGGAGAAACAGGATTCGGCGGCGGAGGAGGAGGAGATGAGGAGGACGGGGCGGGAGCCAAAGCGGAGGGAGAGGATGGGGCCGTGGCGAGCAGATAGGGAGGCGAGGGATCGGTGGAGGGGTTTGCTGAGGAGGTGGAGGTGGCCGACGAGAGGGAACGAGGGAAGGCTTGGGGGTGAGTTTTTGGGCCGGCGGAAGGTGGCAGAGAGGAGGAGGAGGAAGAAGAGGGCAACGGAGAGGTACAGGGCGGTGGTTTCCATTGACATTTTGAGCCGAGAAAGATCATTTGATTGGGAAGTATATTAAACATGAGTATGTATTTATAGACTTCAATGTGTTCAAACAATAGTGTGTGTGTGTGTGTGTGTGTGTGTGTGTGTGTGTGTGTGTGTGTGTGTGTGTGTGTGTGTGTGAGAGAGAGAGAGAGAGAGAGAGAGAGAGAGAGAGCTTTGCATATTATTTTTATATTACCTAAATGCCACTCAATCATAACCTATTTATCTATCTCACACTTAAACATTAACATTCAGATTAATACAAAATTTTATTTTTAAAAAATTAATAATAGTATTATTTTAGCTTTTACATAAAAGTTATAAAAATTTATAAAAATTATACAACTGAACGATTCAAATCTAAACCATTTGATCATAAATGAGCTAACGGGGCATATGAGTTTAACACCACTAATAAGTTGACTAGAGAGAAAACCGAGCCCCTTTGCATCTTCATTCATGGCGGGATGTTTAGGAGTTTTCCATCCATTATCAAGGATCGACAACCGTACTAAATAAGTCGATTGAGCCACTCCCACCAGCCAAAAGCCAATCATTCAGTTGACCAGCAACACTAACCAAGCCTAGCCGACCAAATTAGTTCTGTCGATCCGATGTCAAACATGCTCAATCGACAAATCCAGAGAGCAACTAAGGGATGAGCTCATACATGTAAAATACCAAAAATACTTTATGCAACCTTCTTTAAAGTGGGGGGAAAAAACGCAACTTCATCATATTGTACCATCTCCTTTATAAAAAAGGGGATCATTTTAAGAGTAAAAAAGGATGAAAATGATAGACACAATTGTTACAATTCCTTATTGTTCACTCTCCTCTCCATCTCTTCCCCCGCTCTCTCTCTCTATCTCTCATGATCTCTCATGACTTACACTTTATTCATGACTTACACTTTATTCCTTGGGGTGTGATTCACGATCAAATTAGGATCCAACATTATACAATGTGCGTGAGTGTGGATCATGTTATTAAAAAAGAGGAGCAACCAACAAAGAAGAAACCAACAACAGAGACATTGATAACATGGAGTTTGATGCGTGCTAGAAAATTCGTGGCGGTAGGGTAATTGATTATCGTCTTAGCGTTGCACGAGGATTCAGCACACACTCAGATAAAAATGAATTAAGTTGTGATCACACCCACACCATGATCACACCAGAAGTTTTTACGTGGAAAACCCGTAAAAGGGAAAAACCACGGGGCCTGGCCCAGTTGTTCCACTATAAGTTAGTTGATGATTATAGATGCCCCTTATCCCACAGGCGGGAAAGGGTTACTAGTTTTTCACGTTACGACGTCGGCTGATGACGTCTAGTAAGCCGTGGTTAACGGAAGTCAACGGTGATTGGAGGCGTTTAACGGTGGCCGGCGGTGGTCGACAGAGGTCTACGGTCGTTGTCGACGGTCAGTGGTGGTCGACGACGATCGAGATCGACGATGATGAGGATGATCGTGGACTTGAACTCCTTCTCAAAGCCTCAAGTTCTCTCTTAAGTCTCCCTCCCCTTCATGTGAGGGGTGAGGCTCTATTTATAGTGTTTTGAGTGCAATTAATGTAGAAATATGAACCATTTTGATCGGACGGCCCATAGAGTTTTCCTTGATCAGTTGACGTTTGATGGACATTGGAGTACCTTAACGATGTCAGAATTGAGCAATCTTGGGCTCGTTGGATTCTTCTTTTTGAGACGCTCGATTTGACTATAAACTCACCAGATTTGACATCCTTTTGACCTTTCAAATGCCTCCGGAAATCTTTCAAAAGTGGTTTAATGACTTGATCTTAATGGTTTAATAACTTGATCTCGGGTTGATTTCACTCGGATTTGACTAACTTTAATATCATTAGGTCCTTTTCATCAAACCGATCAGTTTGACTATAATTTTGCTGAAATCGGAGTTCCGGATGACTCGTAATCGAAGTTTGAATGTTCGTGCACAAAATATTACATCGAGATTCGTGCTGGATTATGATAATTTGTTGGTGGCGTATCAGAGTTCATGAGAGAGTTTATAAACCAACAAATCCATAGTTGAAGAATCAAATGTTGAATGCCATCTGAGAAGCACTAGCTTGAGGAAGAGAGCATCACCCTCTAGAGGAGGGCCAACGCCAAAGGTTGAAGAGTCCCACGGGCCTTGGAAAGAGAAGGTGACTCTAAGTACTTTAATAGCATTGGGTCGGGGTGAAATAGAGCCAAAATAGAGCAAAACGAGTGTGTTGCCCGCAGAGTGGCACTATAACATCAGTCATGAATAGAAACTAACGCTATAGCGCTGATTCTGGTGCCATAGAGCTCGAGACAGTTTTTGGACGGCTTTTAAGTGATTTTGAGCCATTCCAGGATGTTTTGGAAGATTCCAAGAACCAGTCATGAATAGAAACTAACGCTATAGCGCCGATTCTGGTGTCATAGAGCTCGAGACAGTTTTTGGACGACTTTTAAGTGATTCTGAGCCATTCCAGGATGTTTTGGAAGATTCCAAGAAACTTGCACGCTCAATGAAGTGATTCAATGAATCTAGACACTTATAAAGGCTTTTGGATGATGTGTCTCTTGGAGTAAAGTGTCGTGTCTCTTGGAGTGAAGATGTGTGTTTCTTGGACTGAAGAGGAGTGTCTCTTAGAGTGAAGAAGTGTTTTGTGTCTCTTTAAAAAGAGGCGCTTGACGCCTCTCATGAAAAGTAGAAGAGGAGGCTTTTGGCATGATTTTTAGGTGTGGCATGTGTGTGTGTGTGTGTGTGTGTGCTTGTTTGTAAGGAGAGATTGGTGAGAGATTTTGTGAGATATCTGAAAGGAATTGTAGGAACTTTGTGTGGATCAACATGAGACTTTGTTGAAGGAATTTTCATCTTTCTTTCATGGGAAATAACTAAGTATTGCATTCTTCATTATCTTATAATTGTTGTAAACACTTTTACATTCTTCATTATCTTATAATTGTTGTAAACATTTTTCTAGTGAATTTTCTTTCATTTAAACAAAGTCTTATGTTGTGTTTTCTCCATGCGTAGTAAGTAGTTTTCCTTACTCTTTCTCCTCGTGATGAGATTTAATCATGTGTGGGATGAGAATGATTTGAAGATTTCTTTTTATTTAAAAAATTATGATGGTATTTTCTCTGGTTCTTCATTGACTTTGCAAACTGATCATTTGTGATGTTAAAATTCATTGTGAAACATAATGACCTGGTAGGGCTATGATTTCACCAACTAGTGAACACCACACTTAACTTTAGAAACAACCATTGAGATCGTCCGAGGGGAAGTGAAAATATATAGGGAGATAAGTTTTGATGGGTGTAGAATTGATGCTTCTAGGGTGATAAACTAGATTCTTTTATGAATTCAGTTTGGAGTTTGCATCTAAGGGTCCCTAGTAGGTCCTATAGAGAGGGCACAATACGTAATCTAGAAGTGAGAGGTCAGAATCTACTCAGTACTACTACACAAGCTGAAACAAACTTTAAGCCAGCTGATGTTTTTTGCATGCACCGAGAGGGGGTAAAGTATGAGTATGCTCTTATTTGTCACAAAACCACATTTTAATCTTTAAACATTCTATTCCTACACTAACTATGTTCTCATCGCAAGGGGAAAGAAATTTAATTATTTAAGAAGTTTTCAAGATTTAACTAGTCACCTTAGATTTAGTTTTTAGTTAATTTTGTTAAATTTAATTTTATAGAAAATTAGTAAATTTAGGAAAACCAAACTTTTTGAATATTATAAAATAAGACCTGATGGTAGTAGATTACAATTAGCCTAAACGATTTCTTACTTGGCTTCTCTGTTGGATTAATACTGGATTTTTAAAGAAAGCCCTATAATACTTGAAACGATACGTAGACTTGCGTAATTCCTCTAGTGTGTAAATTATTCTATAAGTTTTATAACATTTCGATTTTGCACACTAGCCGCTAAATATAAATTTGGTTAAGTTTGTGTCAATCTTTTTGAAGCTAAATTACTGCGTGATTGCGATGCGGGTCAAGTTTTTGGCGCTATTGCTAAGGACTTGACTTGAGTTAGCGTGTAGCACTAGAGTCATATATAGTTTTTGGGGACGTTACCGTGAAAGCTACGGTAAGAACTTTAGGAGAATTTTTAGTTGAATCTTTAAGACTTAGACTTAAAAATTATAATATTGTTATATAGTATGTTTAATTATTGTGTATTTATTTTTAAGAAACCTCTAAAATACAAAAAATATTTTTTATATCTGTCATATTAGTTAAGTCTTTAGATTTATATGCGTAGTTTAGGAGCTACAGACCTTGGATTATATGGCTCAGATCTATAGAAATTTTACGAGGATTATGAATTAAAAAAGACTCCATGAATTTAATGCCAAGGGCCCGTGTCTAATAGCCGATAGATATCAATTGATGTCTTGGGAGGCTTTACATTTCCAAGCATTGGTCCTCCTGGAGGCGGAGGAGAAATTGTCTATGGCCAAAGACAGGGCAAGAGCAACTAAAAGACGGGCAGTAGTAGCTAAAGAATGGGCATCATCGGCCGAAGCTTGGGCACTCAAGCTACGAGAGGAAAATAAAGCTCTGTTTGAGAAGATGGCTATAATAAAGACGTCTAATAAATTCTTTGTTGAATTCTCTTCACACCCTCATCAGGTGGAAATTCTCTCTGCACAACTCAGAGAAGTAGTGACCTTCGACATTGAAATAATGGTGAAAGCGAAGCTAGTCTCCTCTGAGCGGGAAGATATGCATAAATTTGCTACCATATTTTTGGACTCGAAGGAGGGGGAGGAAGAGGACAATAGTAAAAAATATGGAGGATCTTTGAACTTATGAACTGTCTTTGACTTCATCTATAACTTAGAAAAAATTTCTCTTTCTTCTTTTTGACCACTTGTAAAGAAACGTATAGGAAATTTTTTGTAACTTATCAATCAAGAAATAAAGTAAGGCTTTTGGTAGGTTTTTGCCTTCATTTTTTGCACTTAACTTTAATTGTAT